GATTTTGATGATAATATATTTGTTGATGTTTGTCTTGTGACTTAATATGTGATGAGGTGTGGAGAATGACCCATGTGTACTTGAGAAAAATGTGTACTTGGATTTTTTTGGGTGCAGTGTCCTATAGATATAAGTTAAGCCCATGAAGTCTGGGTCCTTACTTAGGGATCTAATGCCCTTCTTTATTTTTGTCTCGTTGCTCTTTCCATTGGCGAGAGTGGTGTGTTGAAGTCTCTTATTACGTATATATTTTCTCTGATATCTGTTTTCAGAAATGGTGATAATTCTCTGATATATTTTGGTGCTCCTTTGTTTGATGACTGTGTATAGGAAGGCTACTGATTTTTGTGTGTTGATTTTGTATCCTGCTACTTTACTGAACTGGTTGATTATTTCGAGGAGTTTTTCTGCAGTTTTTGGGGTTTTCTACGTATATTATCATATTGTCTGCAAATAGTGATAATTTTACCTTTTCTTTAGTGTAAGAGGCCAATTTTAAATATTGACTCTTTCACTTAAAAGCCATGTATTCTTGTGCAAGTTTTTGTAGCCCTCTGAACTCCAGTTTCTTTCTTTCTTTTTTTTTAAGATTTATTTATTCATGCATACAAGAAGGGTACAGGCCAGATGTGCAGGAGGGTGAGAGGATTCACCAGAGACAGAGCAGGGAACAGAATAGGCAGATCTACTGAAATACACTGCTGAGAGGAGCAGCAGGCGAGACAGGAGAGTTCTGCCACGCCATGTGGGATTCTTGCCGGCGGCCAGGATTGAACCCATGCTGCAGAGGCTGTGGACAGCTTCACAGTGCTGAGCTCAACCGCCTGCACCACCAGGGAAGGCTCTGAACTTCAGTTTCTTTACTTCTGAATTAAAACTAGCGACAATAGGCAGATGTGAGGGTAATTGTTAGTTGTATTTTGTTCCTAAAAGCAGAACACTCCATTGCCTTGACATGAGAAGTTTTATTACCTATGCAGATAAATGACAGTTATTACCATCAATGGGAAATCCATTACTTCCTCTCTGCTCTCCCTATGTGTAAACAAACATGTTTAGCCTTTAGTCTATGTTGTATTTTCCCAGCTTAGTAATAGTGATTCTGTCTTGAAATTTCTGATCACACACCTGGTTGGTATTTGCTTATAGTGACCCCACAGCCATTCCACTACCACCATTGCCACTATCACAAAAGGCAGTGTCCTAGCTGGGCTGGCCTTGTGCTTCCATTATGAGCGCAGGATGTCCTTTAGCAGGAAACTATCTGGGAATAGATAGGTTATTACTCAAAGATCCCAGAGGGTATAGAGCATTCCCTAGGGCCACATGGATTGTAGAACAAGAACGAGGTTGCACAGACCTGGCCTCTGTCTTTATTGGGGTTCAAGAGTAGGGTTTCACGGATTTGGTGGCTTCCCTCTTTACTATGGAATTTAAAGCAAAGAGTGGGGATTAAGTTGTGGGAAGAGAGAAGTGGGCTTATTAAAACAGTCGTTGATCTAGGTGACCCAGGTTTATACAAGGGGAACTTCAAGTTGGGACTGGGGTTCACATGGTTCCATATTTTGTCATCTTTCTCATAGCTGTGTCATGCAGTTGCAAAATGTTTCAAGGTGGATATTTTGGAAATCAAAAGCTAATATAAGGCATTTCATTACAATCAAAAAGTTAACTGTCAGGGCACTTATACAACATCCTGCTTCTGTTCATTGTGGAAGAAATTCTGAAATACTAACTTTGCATAGTTTATTAAATGTGTAAGTACATAATATTGAAATCAAGAACATGGAATCAACTTTTTATGTTCGTTGATTAATTTAACATGAACTTTGTTTACCTACATTTGTTGGGAACTTTAATGCCATTTATTTCATGGGTACTGTAGTTCTTCATTAACCAAGTTGGTTTCAGTTACCTGAAATCAATGCAAGATATTTTGAGATACTACATTCATACCCTGTATCATTGTTATACTTTTTAATTGTTACTCTCTTGTTATGCCTAATATATAAAGTAAACTCTATCCTAGGTATATATGTAAATAATCACTGTCACTTGTGGGAAGAGAGAAGATCTATTAACAAGACAGTAATAACCTATCTATTAACAATCATTTCTACAGTTACTGGCCTTTCAGTAACTACTTTTAAAAAACAAGGTTCTGTCTTGTTTTAAAAAACAGGTAATCTATCACCTCAATTTAGGTTGAGAAAAGTCCCATTTCTTCTCTCAAAGACTAACAATTTTATAACATACAAAACAAGAAAAATTTAAGCAGTAAACTGAAATTACCAGGAAAATAGCATATATAGGATTTAGTGACCTCTGTAATGTCAGACATCCATGGGGGTCTTGGAATATATATCCCCCATGGATAAGGGGAGACTACTATAGTTGGAAAAGTATTCCACCTAGGCCTCCCTGGTGGCACAGAAGTTAAGTCTCATTGTTATCATGCTGTCACTGCTGTGGCCTGTGGTAGATCTCCAACCAGGGGACTAACCCACATATGGCTCAGCAGAGCTCTCCTGTCTCACCTGCTGCTCCCCTCAGCAGTGTACTTCAGTAGTCACCTGTTCTGCTCCCCGCTTTGCCCCTGGTGAATCCTCTTACCCCCTGCACCTTTGGCCTACACCTCAGTTTGATGCATAAATAAATAAATAAAATTTAAAAAATATTCCAACTACTTTGCAGCATATTTAAGACTAATAAATACAAATAGTAAATCAGTGTGCAATTGGAGAAGAAAGAAATTGGAGATTAGATATAGGAATTGTGATTTTGGCTTTTTACTTCAGTTGTGAAAATTATGTGGATATCTTACTTTTGACTCAGATGACTTACTTAGTCGGAACTTATCCACTGAAAACTAAACTGAAAAGCTAAAAACCTACAAGTCCCTAAATTTGTGGAGGCATCAATTTTTTGTAAAACCATTAATCTTTTTCTTTCTAATTTTTTTGAAGTAACATAGGGTTATAACATTAAATAGGTTTCAGATCTAAAACATTTTAAATCAGTCTCTGTATATGCTATATTATGGTTACTATCAAGAATCTAGTTTCTGTCCTTCACCATTCAGTTGACCCCTTTTTATCCATCCCCCTAACATTAACTTTGCTGAACTAGCTTTACAAGTTAGTTGCTGAACTAGCTTTACAAGTTGATCTTCATGACTCCAAATCTCTTCTTCTCTGGCCAGTGATAGGACTTTAAATATTGCTGAGAAAGTGACTCCTTTGAGTCATGAACACTTTAGTGTTTGAAAAATTTCCCTGCTTTGACTTCTAGGTAAGAGTTTCTGACAATGGGGTGCGGATTGAATGGATTCACCTGGAATAAAGGCATCTGCTGAAATGAGAGGCAAAAGGAAAAATTCCACCTGTTTCATAGTTTTGCTGAGGGATCAGTCACCCTAATTATTGTTTAGATTATAAAGAAAAAAATTCTTAGTGAATTAAGCAGGCAGTTTCATTTATTGCTTACATCTATTTTGCATGTGAAAGAGACTCAGAGAAAATGTGAGATTTCTTAACCTAAATTCAGATGAAAGATTTTTCTTACAGGAGCTTTGCTTTTTCTTTTTTTTAATTAATATTTTATTTTATATAATTCTTAAATAATTTTTCATTTTTGCACAATGTATGCATTATCATTTTGGTTACATTGCACCATGCAATTGCACCCCCCTCTTATTTTGACCCTAGTCCTTCCTCTCCCCTCCCACCCCCCCATAGTGTGTCTCTGGTTTATAGTTGTTTGTTGATTTTGATTTTTACAAATTAAAGAGCTTCTGCACAGCAAAAGAGACAATAATCAAAACAAAGAGAAACCCCACCAACTGGGAGAAAATTTTTGACACAGCACTAATGATAAAGATCACAAAAATCTACAAAGAGCTGATGAGACTCAACAAAAACAAAGAAAATAATCCAGTCAAAAAATGGGCAGAAGAGCTAAAAGGAAACTTCTCCAACGAGGAAATGCAAATGGCCAACAGACATATGAAAAAATGTTCAACATCACTTGTGATCATGGAAATGCAAATCAGAACTACAATAAGATACCATCTTACACGAGTGAGAATGGCACATATTAACAAAACTAGCAACAACAAATGTTGGTGAGATTGTGGAGAAAAGGAACTCTCCTGCATTGCTGGTGGGAGTTCAAACAGATCCAGCCACTATGAAGAGCTGTGTGGAGATTTCTGGATCTACTAAACATACAGCTTCCATATGATCCAGCAATTCCACTCCTAGGTATTTACCCAAAGGACACAGACACATCAATTCCAAAGGGCACTGCATCCCTATGTTTATAGCAGCACTATTTACAATAGCTAAGCTATGGAAACAACCCAAATGCCCAAAAATAGATAACTGGATCAAGAAGATGTGGTACATATACAAAGTGGAATATTACTCAGCAATCAAAAAAGATAAACACATGCAGTTTGCAGCAACATGGATGGAGCTGGAAGGGATCATGCTCAGCGAAATAAGTCAGAAAGAAAAAGAAAAATACCAATGGTCTCACTCAAAGCAGGAATTTAGAAAACCTAAATAAGGGACCAGGAAAGAGCTTTGCTTTTTAAAAGCAGTTACTCAAAGACTGGGAACTGTAGGAATGATTTTTTAGGGAGTATGGTAACAGTGACAGTCAATGAGTATCTAGGTCAGGTATTGTCAACCTTTTTCTGTAAAGGAGCAGGTACTAAATATTTTATGCTTTGCAGACCATTCAGTCTCTGATACAACTACTCACTTCTGCTACTGTAGCATTTAAATGAACCTAGACAATATATAAATGAATGGGCATAGTTGGGTTCCAATATATCTTTATATAAGTGGGCAGTTGATCTGGACCTGTAGATTCACTATCTCCTGACCTATGTTTTGAGAATTTTCAGAGACTGAGTTGTTTTGAATGCAAGAAATAATTGGATTTAAAAAATAAGTCCTCAATTACAAGACTTTGTTTTTCTTTGTTCTTAATAGGTGAACATTATACCAGTGATTGCCAAAGCAGATGCAATTTCTAAAACTGAACTACAGAAGTTTAAGATCAAGCTCATGAGTGAATTGGTCAGCAATGGCGTCCAGATATATCAGTTCCCAACAGATGATGAAACTATTGCTAAAATTAATGCTTCAATGAATGTAAGTTCCTAGTTGATTATTAATTTTGTTCTATATGTGAAAAAATTGTAAGTAATGTTACTACTAATATATTTTCACCCATGTCTTCCAAAAAGACTTCAAACAGATGAACTATCCAAAATCTCGGTATAGGAAGATGTTTGGTTGGAAAAGTATGATCAGAAAATGTTTTGTAAAATGATGACATTTGTGAGACTGGTACTATACCTTTTGTGGAAGCATATTTACTTGCTCTAGAAAAATGCCTTTCTATCCCATCTTTAAAAACATGAAAAGGCTTTGTATCCTCTTTTGGAATGCTTTCGAATTTTAAAATCTATTTGAAGATGTCTAATTTCTCTTAATTTCTTCAACTATCCGATTTCTTAAATATCTGTTTATATTTTCAAGGGTCATGGGTCTTGGTGTCAGACAGACTTATGATCTGTGGAGCATTATAATCTCCTTGAGACTTTTATCTGAAAAAAAAGTGATAATAGTATTTGAAGGTTGTTGTGAGGATACAACCTTTGTTCACTGCCTCACACAGCAACAGTTCATATCATTGCTGCTTTTTTCCTTTTCTGATTTTTCATTTCCAATTTATATTAAAATACCTAAGCTAAATATATAGAAAATTGATTAATATAAATGGAGTATCTTAATTCCTGTGTTGAATTGTCTTTAGATCTAATATTTCTTGTTCCCACCTGAGGTCTAATTTTTCAAAAGGTACAATAATGATGTATTTATTATTTATGTTATTTATGTTAAACTATATTAACCCTCAGCATCAGACATACTAATCTCCTCACTGCCTCTAAATTCTAGCTTTTTAAAAAATCTCCTCTTTAACTCTCTTGAACGGTCTCCTTTTTGGATTGTATTTTCCTGTCCACAGAGATCTTTCACTTTTCTAAAATCCTCTAAAATTTACTGTATTTAGTATTTATTTGGGACTCAAATATTTGTTTTAATAGCATTTATCTATACCACAGTAAATACAGATACACACTTTAGTTACATTTTATGTGTGTGAGTGTGTGTATAATTTTTTCAGTGTTATCTTTCTCTTTCAGAATGAATATACTATTGAGGGAAATAATAATTATTCATTCTTTTTTAATTCCTGTATCATAATACCTTGTATATGGGGAATGCACAGTAAATAATTTTCTCCGTAGGGGTGAAAATGACTCTTGTAAACCTACTCTTGTACATATTCACTGCCAAGCTTCGAACATATGACACGCAGCAGATCATTTGATTTTTTGACAAATTTTGGTAGTTCATAAATATTAAGTAAATAATAGTCTCTTCTCCATTTTCCTAAAAGTCTTGTTCATCATTAATCACACAGATGTGAAAAGTGATTGATATCCTGGTTTCTTTTCAGGGACATTTGCCATTTGCTGTAGTAGGAAGTATGGATGAGGTAAAAGTTGGAAATAAAATGGTCAAAGCTCGCCAGTACCCCTGGGGTATTGTACAAGGTAAATGAGATAAATGATATCTAGAAATATGTTTGTTGTCTAGTAGTCTGAAAGTTGCATTTAATACTTTCTTTGAAGTGATGCTTACTTTGGACTATGATTGGCTATGATTGGTTGTGTTCTGTTTTGGCCAAGTTTATAAAGACCCACTTTTTACATTTCTAATGTAGCACATTGGCTACCCAGGTACACCAAGAAATTCAAATGGTGGGAAGCACTGGTCAGGTACTTATTTTTTTTTTAATTTATTTATGCATACAAGAACTGGGGTACAGGCCAGAGGTGTGGGGGGTTGAGAGGATTCACCAGAGACAGAGTGGGGAACAGAACAAGCAGATTGACTGAAATACACTGTTGAGGGTAGCAACAGGTGAGACAGGAGAGGTCTGCTGTGCCATGTGGGTTGCTCCCTGGTCAGGGATTGAACTCTTGCTATAGAGGCTGCAGATAGTTTCATAGGCAGCGTCTTAACCCCTTGCACCACCAAGGAGGCCTCTGGTCAGGTACTTCAAATATGATTTGACTGTAAATAGTAGTGCCTAAACATGATGCATAAATTAATTACTAGCCAATTCTGGAACACCATAAACCTTCTTGTAAGATAGTTTTTCCCTCATCAGTGTATTGCCAGCTGTTCCAAAACAGAGCAGTCAACCAACTAAAAAATTTTAGGATTGTTTATCTAGAATTATAATAAGTACAATTGACCCTCCAGATCTGTGGATCTGCATCTGTAGGCTTAACCAACTACAGCTGAAAAATATACACTATATTTTAGGCCTATAATGGTTATATCTGTACTGAATGTGTACAGACTTTTTGTCATTCTCCTAAACAGATGTAACAGCTCTTTTCATAACATTTACATTATATTAGGTATTATAAGAAATCTAGAGATGATGTAGAGTATGCCAGAGGATACTCTACCATTTTATATAAGGGATTTGTGCATCCATGGAATTTTGGTCCTGGAACCAATCCTAAGGACCAGCTGTAATTAGTATTATCTGGTTCTCTTACTTGGGATGCTAATTAGTGGGGATGAGATTAGCTCTATTAATACTGGTTTCCAAATGATCTTTGTTTTTAATTGACAAATTTTGTAATTAGTGAAAAATAATGGCAAGAATTAAACATTTCTAATATATAAAATATATAGGAATAATAAGTACATGCAAAAATTGTTGGTCACAATAACATGTTAGTAGACCTCTCACCATAAATATAGGAGAACCATCTAAATTTGGGCCTCCCTGGTGGTGCAAGAGGTTAAGCATAGCACTGTGGAGCTGTCCACAGCCTCTGCAGCACAAGTTTGAGTCCCAGCCGGCCAGGGAGCTACCCACATGGCGCAACAGACCTCTCCTGTCTCGCCTGCTTCTCTCCTCAACTGTATATTTCAGTCAGTCTGCCTGTTTTGTTCCCCACTCTGCTCTGGTGAATCCTCTCACCCCCTGCACCTCTGACCTGTGCCCCAGTTCTTATATGCATAAATAAATAAATCTTTAAAAAAAAAACCAGACATCTAAATTTACTAACTTTATGTACTGTCTAACACAGAATCATAGTTGTAGCACAGTATAAAAAGAGTTTGATAAATCTAGCATGCACAGATGGTGTTTTTGAGTATGCAGAATTTACTAATTTAAGTTTAGTGAAGTAATTTCACATACTCTTTAAATACTATACAAAATGTCTTGAGTATAGTTTGTAAGTTCCTAAACAAAAGATTCTTGAAACTGGGGCACATAGTAATGTAATATATTTCTTCCAGTTTCTTATTTATTTATTGTCTAGTAAATAAATGTAAAGCAAATTTCTCAATCTATTAATTAACATTGCCTATAATTCAATGTGTATAATGCAAGATTTCCTTATTTGCTTGTATAAAATAATCATAGCTGTTTAATCAGACTTGTCATTTCATTGTTTCGTTATTTCAAATGTGTATTCATTCAAATTCTCAATTGTCAGTCAGGAATTAAAAACTGGTGTTGCTGTTTTCTTGTTTTTCTGAATAGTGGAAAATGAAAGCCACTGTGATTTTGTTAAGCTCCGGGAAATGCTCATTTGTACAAACATGGAGGATCTGCGAGAGCAGACCCACGCTCGACACTATGAACTCTACAGGCGCTGTAAGCTCGAGGAAATGGGGTTTATGGATGTGGGCCCAGAGAATAAGCCAGTCAGGTAAGTGGGATTTCTTTGGGAAGTCAACCAAAGAGGAAGGTGAAGAGGATTATACCTCTATTGATCCAGAATAATGGAGAAATTGTTTTTCAGAACTCTCCCAAACTGTGAAATGAAATCTTTTAGTAATGATTAATAACTGTGCTCATCAAATCATTTGAAGAATTTTTGCTTTTAAAGAGTGCCTAAGTCCTCATCTGACTTAAGGAGATAAGTAGAAGGAAGAACATAGGGCAAAACCCAGTATTTCATTCCGAAATATAACTAAAGGAAAAAACTTTCATTACTTGGTTTTATTTTTTTATATTTATCTGAAAGTACATTAATCATGAAAGAAAATTAGAATGTGAATCATATTTGAATAAGCTAAAAAACCATTAGTTTTTATCCTCATGAAAGTTTGGTATAACTTAAAGTTAGTAAAATACCTTGCAAAGGAAGAATGACAGTAGTTTTAGGGAGTCAGAGATTAGATAGTTTCTTAAAATAATGCAGTATAGTGGCAAAAATTTTAGAACCTGATGACCTGGCTATTAGTATTTGCCCCAGAGTAATAAGCACAAAAGGAAGGAGGAGAACATTAAATTCTTGCTGATGCTACATATGACATTTGGGAAGATGTAATACTAGATGAAGTTAATATTTTTTTTAATTTTCAATCTGTGGATTGAAATTTACGTATGAAATTGTAATATGAGCAACACAAAGCCCAGGAAAGAGTATCCAGTAGGCCCAGTGGAATACATATCCTGACCAGGAGTGAACATGAACCTGATTAATTGCCCCACCAGACATCATCTCATGATGGAGAAGAGGTAACAGTCCAAAAGATCACCAGGGTAATAGTACCTAAAGGAAGTAGATGGTAGGCAGTGAGAATCAAAGATTACTCAAAACATCTTTGTTTTAGTGTTTCTTCAGTCTGGGAACCATCTGCTCACTGCAGGTGAAGATTGGAAAAAGAAAAGGAAGTTTTTCTCTCTCTTTTTTTTAAAGATTTATTTATTTATGCATGCAAAAACGGGGGTACAGGCCAGAGGTGTTGGGGGGTGAGAGGATTCACCAGAGACAGTGGGGAGCCCAACAGGCGGACTGACTGAAATACACTGCTGAGGGGAGCAGCGGGTGAGACAGGAGAGGTCTGCTGCATCATGTGAGTCACCTCCCTGGCCGGGGATCAAATTCCTGCTGCTGTAGCTGCGGATTGCTTCATAGTGCTGATGCTTAAGCCTTTGCGCCTCCAGGAAGGCCCCAGTTTTTCCTCTCTTAAACCAGGTTACAGATTAGATAGGAGCAGGTACATTGCTCCTATTGCTTGCAGAAGAATTGGGAGACTGTATCTCAGTGTGAGGAAGGCTTCTGCCTTTGTACCCAGGAACCAATGAGTCTCTGCCATTTCCAGGCCCTCTCTGTCTAAGAGAGGGGACATTTCCTACTGAATTTCTTGAGTCAGGTGCAGCAAAATGTCTTTTCTCTTTAGACTTTCTCGTTTTGGAACAAATTATTTGATAGTTCATTATATCCTAGTATATTAGGAAGGTTTTACTTGTATAGTTTTAAGTAGTTAGGTTTTATTTTCTGGGTAATCGTTCCCATTTAATTTGGGGTTTACATAATAATAACATGTACTTTGGTTTGTATGTCCCTCAGTATTATACTTACCTATCAGTGAAGTTCCTTGAGCCTGCTAGGGTGACTTTTATTTCTCTTTAGTATCCAGCCCTCTTCATTGCCATACCTTTAGTTTGTTTTTCCATTTGCATTTTACTGAATGGTTACACTAAGTTATACTACCTGAATCCATCAACACTGATAGTTATTTTAGATTAACATAAGCAGTCTTTTTTCCCCATAATTAATCACCATTAACATTTGAGTACAAAACCACTGTCATTGAAGTGTTGTGAGATCTATAGTTTTGAAAGAAAGATTTGAGCTATTTTAGAGTTTTTGACATGCTTTTTTATGTCATGACTTTTATGTATTTGGAACTTATAAGAAATAGTTAGCTTTTTGCATTTAGTCTACAGTTAAACTGGACAAAGCTTACCAGGTAGTAGGCGATAGGTCTTACTGCACTCCTAAGCAATTCAAATGCGTGTGTAGAGTGAAGCGTTTTGTTAAGAGTTGTATTTGACATGAATTCAGGATAATATTTAAACTGAATTTATCCTTTTAGTCCACATGTGAGGCCATTGAAATGTGGTAAAGATTCTGAAAATGGAGAAAGATATACTGATAAGTTTAGAGACATCTATAATATAAGACCAAAACTAACACAGATTAAAAAACCTGGTAAAGAATAAAATATTTCCTTGAGATTTGAGGCATTTATATGTTATCTTGGGCATTTTATACATTTATAAGTTTTGCTCTTAAACTGTTCTTCCTCAGGAAATCTGTTCTGCATGCCACACACTGTCTGCTATAGTAACTATTGTACAACATTTCTTCCTTTATTTTGCCTGAATTTATAGAATTCTATACCTAAGAGACTTGTTTCTCCATTACAATACTTAAAATTAGTAAAATTGCTTGTTAACACATTTTAAATGTTTAGTTATGAATTAGTAAAGATTTCTAACTGTGACATGATTGGAAAGTGATTGTGTTCCCTGTTAAACTTTTGTGATATACTCCTGACAAGCTGAAGTGGAAGACTCAGCACTTCTGACTTAAGATCTGTTATCATTCTAAAATGCTACAAATAAGAAAATGTGGCTGGCCATATTTTGCTTGGTTAAATCTAGCTATACCTCCCAGCAATTTATATCTTTAAATAACTATTTATGAAGAAACTGAAATGTCTCAAGAGCTCCTTTAGATAGTTGGCTTACAAGGATGATAATCTGTTAGGCAGACAGATATAAATGCCAAGAAGAGATATAAACAAAGTGCCATGGAAGTTCTTGGGAAGAACAATTAGTTTCAACTGTGGAAAACAGAAGGCTTTAGAGAAGAAGTTTGAATTTGATCTTGAGGAATAAAGGATTAGTTTGCAAAATAGGGGGTTGGGAAGTAAGCAGTGACATTGGAAGCAGAGATGTTAACAACAGATTAAGGCATGAAGTAAGTGTTGTGTTTTAGGAACAAGGAATAGGTTGGTATGGCTGGAACCTTAGGCTGAGTGGATTTCATTGGTAAGAAATGAATTTGAAAAGATAAAATCAGACCAGATTGTAAATTTTCTTAAGTGCTATTTAAAGGAGGTGGGATTCAGTAGATAACATAACTTTAATGAAGAGAAAAGAAATTACATCTGTTTTTTGTGGAAAGTCTTAAGAAGCAGCAAGAAAAAGTAAAAAAGAGGAACTGAAAACCCAGAGATCAATTAGAAGATTATTGTAAGAGTTCGGATAGAACTTTATAGAAATCAGGTGAGTTATATCATAGTATGTCTATAGAAATCAAAAGAAGATTGGATTAAATGTTAGGGTTACAGGCTAAACTCACAGACTGTGGTGATCAGATGGGGAGAATAAGGGTAAGGAAAGAGCCAAAGGTGACTAAAAAGATTTCCAGACAATGACGCCAGTTATCAAAATGATAACTTTGAAAGGAATTTGTTTCCTTTGAAAGGAATTTGTTTGGGGTGAAGTGAAAGTATTTTTTGCTAAGGATTTGGTAAAATGGATATTTCAAAATTTATAGTCTATTAGCTGTAGCAGTGTTGCCTTTTTGTGTCTTCTGCTCTAGGAAATTTCATGTTTCAGGTTTCTCTATGTAAGAGGATGTTGGTACCTATAGTAGGGCTTGTGTTTGTTTTACAAGTTTGTTACATTGCCTTTTTAACATGAAAGTATATTACAAATAACTTTATAGTCTTCAAGAGACCTATGAAGCCAAAAGACATGAATTTTATGGTGAACGTCAGAGGAAGGAAGAGGAAATGAAGCAGATGTTTGTGCAGCGAGTGAAAGAGAAAGAAGCCATCTTAAAAGAAGCTGAAAGAGAGGTAAATATACCGGTTTGAGGTGCTTGGTATTTATTTTAGCTGTTCTATTAATTGGGGGGGATTTATCTAAAGAATTTGAGAAGCTTTTGGACACTTCTTGTTCATTAAAAAGTAGCTGTTTTTATGTAGACATAGTTACACTATATCCCTACTCTGTTCCTAGTTACTTTATTCACTGTGCATCTCTGATAAGCTTGCGTGCTTTTTTCCCATAAAAATTATACCTAAAAAAATTAATAGGAATGCCATAATTTCACCTAATGTCTAGTCTGTACTCAGTTTTCTCCATTTTTCCAAGATTGTCTTTACTGTTCCTTTTTTGTTGTTGATTTTTTGCTTGTTTTTGAACCAGAATTCAGTCATAGATATTATTGTATGTGGGTGCTCTGTTGAGTCTTTTTATTCAAGAACAGTCCTGAGTTTGAGATTATTTCTAAGCATCAGTGTGGAGATAGGAGCTGTAATGAATAGAAAACAAGGATGCTGGTTTTTCTTTTAACTAGTAAATTAATGGTAGTAGGGTGAAAACTCTTCTTTCATATTGGAGTTTATGTACTGTTGGGCTTGTTTATTACAGCAACATGTGTTAACAACATTAATACAATGCATTCTGCTGAACATAAAGGGAATGAGGTGGGTAGTATTTCAGCTTTAGGATGTTTTTCTAACAGAGTGAGTGTTAAAAGAAATAACTCAGCACCTTCATTTGCTTTGAGATTCAAATTTTTTATCAGAATTGGGAAAACAAGGAGTACACTGGGAGGTTGAGAGGTGATGATGGTGTGTTAGGACTTTTTGTGTGTCTGCCTGCTTTGATGTGGAAAGTCAAAGTTTATCAACTTGCCCTGGCTGATGTGGAAGGCTTAAGTTATGACAGGAGGTTTGACTGCTTAGATTCAAATATTTTTATGATAGCAGGAACCATTAGCAAAGCAGATCAGGAAATGATGCTTCTCTGAAATGATATCTTCAGGGCTTTACTTAATCATCTACTTCAAACCTATTCTGTCTCCATTGTAATACTTTATTGGATCATTAGACAACCTATTCCATATTTGGAACATTTAATTTGTATTAAATTGGAGTTTAACTCTTCCCAGTTTCTACTTTTACCTCTGACTTTTAGTGAAATATTTCCTTAAACATTATATGTCATCTTTTCTAGAAAACAAGTCCTACTTTTTTAATAAATGGCCAGTTGCTTCCCAGACTAAAAATAATAATTTAAAGCTTATCAACCAGACTAGAGGATAAATTGAAGTTATTTTTTTATCTAGATTCTAAAGACTGTGCTTAGGTTCTTGACAGGCGTGACCATGACTGACTCGGAATTTACTGTATTCCCTAGATCTTTTTTTCTCATGTAAATAACAGTTAGACCAGGGAAATATCATGGTATAATGTAAACTTTTTCAACACCTACTTTAATTGCAGCATTATATGTATTTAAGTATCTTTTTTACTTTATCTATTAGACACAGGCTATTTTTCCCTTTATGATGCACATTTTTTGCAGTGAGCATTTATGTCTAAAACTCTAAGTTTAACAAATTTTGATTAGACTTCAAGGTGAATGACGAGGGGAAAATTTAATAGATTTTTTTTTTTTAAACAAGCAATCTTTATTATTTTTTTTTTTAAAGAGGCATGTATTTTTATTTATTTATTTGTTTGTTTGTTTGTACATGCACTGGGTAGAGTCAGAAGCGCGGGAGGGTGAGAGAATTCACCAGAGCAAGAGAGGGGAGCAGAGCAGGCAGAAGGGCCAAAGTACACTGCTGAAGGGAGCAGCGGGCGGCAGGAGAGGTCTGCGCGCCATGTGGGACCCTCCTCCAGTGGCCGGGGAGCAGCCGGGGATCGAACCAGCGCAGCAGAGGCCGCGGGCAGCTTCGCAACCCAGCGCTCAACCGCTGCGCCACCGGGGAGGCCCCGATTTTTTAGGTTTTTGATTTAAATTGACATTTGACAAATGCTTACTTAGCAAATAGGTTTACCAGTATTGCTTTTACCAATTGTTTTCCTACACTTGGTGACTTTATTTGGGAAATAAGACTTTTTTTCCCTTTTTATAGCTTCTGTAACTTGTTTACCTCATGAATTTTAGAAATTATTTAAACAGACTGTGAGAAAATGTAGAGCATGAAAATAAAACTCTAAGGAAAGGTGAGGTGTTTTAAAAACAGGTTTGTTCATGAGATTGGTGTTTTGTTTATTAAGTTTTGCATGGGAACCCATTTTAAGATTAAAGTCAACAAAGGAATTTCATATAGAATTTTTACTTAAAGCATGAATCAGGAAGAGTGTGTAGATTTACTGTGTAGGTGAGTTTTCTGCAGTTGTATTTTGAGCCAGAGTACATGTTGTCTATGTGCTGCCACACTGTGTCATTAGTGGGAACTACACATTTGTTTCAGCTACAGGCCAAATTTGAGCATCTTAAGAGACTTCATCAAGAAGAGAGAATGAAACTTGAAGAAAAGAAAAAACTTTTGGAAGAGGAAATAATCGCTTTCTCTAAAAAGAAAGCTACCTCTGAGATTTACCAGAGCCATACCTTTATGCCAGCAGGCAGCAACCTGAGGAAAGATAAGGACCGTAAGAAGTAAGCCATCCCCAACTTCCCAAACTCTGCAGCCCCCATAAATTTCTCTCTCATTGCCTTATTTGATCTTTTTTCATTTATTGTGTTATTTTTATTGAGGTGACATTTATAAGACTGTATATGAGTTAGGGATATAGATTTACACCTCTTCAAATGCATGTTAGCACACCATGCCCATCTCCAGAGCACTTTTTCAAAACTTATTTTAATTGCAGCATTGTATGTATTAAGCATAATTTTTTTTAATTTATTAGAAATAGGCTAGTTTTCTCTTTATGATGCAGATTCTATTGCAGTGTTTATGTATAAAAACTCTAAATTTAGTTTTCAACTAGACTTCTCACCATTGTTTCCTTACTCGCAGTCTGTCTACTTCAATGCCAGCTCCTTGAGAGCATAGACCTTGCCTGTCTTGTTCTCTGCTGTTTCCCCAGCATTTAGAACAGCAGCTGGGCACGTATTAGCTACTCAGTAGAGTTTTGCCTGAATGAATGAACAAAATAAAAATGGATCATAATGTAAAGAGGGCCATTGGGGTGGGGAGATATGCCTCCTCCTATTTCCATTTAATGACTACTGACCTACCATAAGTTATGTTACTTCCTATCTTGCTTTGTTGGGTAATCATAGACATAAAATAATACTTGATAAAAAACTTAATTCTTAGTTTCACTATTTTTAAAACAATTTCTACTGATAATGATTTTGTGAGAATTTTTATCTTAATAAGGGAACCAGGCTTTCGATTCGAACTCCTGTGCTTTGATGTCAGAACTTGTGAAACCAATGGTGGACGTAAAGATGCAGAGGAAGGTAGAGAGGGCCCCAGTACAATGGGGCGGCCATGAGTAGCATTTGGATGATAATCCCAAGGATTTTAGGTTTGGGGTATGTGTTAAAATCACAGTTACCAAAGTTTTAGAAAATAAGTTTCTTCCCCCCTCTTTTTCTCACTTAAGCTTTTTGCCATTTTGATTATTTAACTGTTCATGAAATTCATTATTGAATTGTTATTTTGGAAATGTTTCTTTGTGGGTCTTGTCTCCGTTCATTCCAATTATCTCTGCTTTAGCAGCATAACTCCTATGTTCCTCACAGAGCAACACATCTTCTGTAATACTACCACCACATCTTCAAAACCCAGCATTTTCAGAATACTATAATTCACCCTCAAAATAGTTAGGGAAACATAACCTTGGTATATGGTGGCTTTCTGTATTTTATACTGTGAGGAAGTAAATCCACAAGATTTTTGTGGATATAATTGGTCTTTGGACTCTAAAGTTTCAGGGGCAAAGAGAGAAGGAATTTCTCATTTGTGAATTTTTAATATAAGCTCTACAGGGGCATGGATCTTTATTATTTTCATTGATATGTTCATACCTGGAGCCTTAGAGTAGTGCTAGTACTGAGTGGATAATGCAGTTTGTCAATAAAGTGAATATGATTTATCATAGCTGTGTTTTATTTCAACATTGAATGTCAAAAGATTAACTGAATATAATCTATTGCTGTTTTTCACTATGCTTTGAACTATAAAGTTTAAGTGACTTTTTGCCTCCTTAACCTCCTCATCTTAACCCAGTGCTACTAAGATTGGATTCCCCAATTTCATTTAGTTAGTATAAGAAAAGCACTGTAAAAATTGTCAGCCCTCTCCACCAAGAGAGGCTGTTTAAAATCAGAACCAACCCCATAGTTTTTGAGAACTCAGAAGAATTCATCCTCAAGAAAATAAGGGTTGATAGGTTTTTGTTTTTCTTTTCCAAAATTCCATAGGTACTCTGTAGTATGTTAGATGTGTATGTGCTCTTTCTATAAAAAAATTGAAAAACTAATGACTAGCAATTCTTATTTCCTATATATACATTTTTATTGTACCAATCAAAAGGTTTTTTTCTCTTTCCAGCTCCAATTTTATGTAAAACAAAGGTTCCAGATCACAGAACGTCATCAAGCAAAAGTTATTAAAATATTAGATGTATTATTTGATTTTCTTGCTGTTTTTATTTGCTATATCACTTATTCTATACTAGAAAATGGTCACAGTTACTGCCTTTTATGGAAGATACTTAGTATAAAGTTAGTATGTAACTCAAATTGGAGATATAAGTTATATTAGTTTTTGTTATAAGTTTTTACATTGCTGGCTTGCAGTGAATCTGGATCGTTTCTCCTGTCTAGTCACTGTCACTTTGTAGTGCTGTACTATGGTACAAAGTGTCAGTGCTGTTGAACATGTGTAACTCAGTCATATTATGGATATCTAATTGCATTTATATTCCAAAATCAACCTCCTCTTTGTATAAAGGTAAAATTTGGAAATATATTTTAAGATTTATTATGTAACCTGAAACTCTTAATTTCTCTATAGTTTTGCAGAACTTTAAAATTATTGAAGTGATAACATGAACTTAAGCTTTTGTATCAAATATGTAACATGGTGACCTTTTATACCTTATTGCTAATAATCTGTTGTTTTGATGAAAAAATGTTTAAAAGTAAAAATACCTCCTCCCACAACGTGGCAGAGTAGAGAGTTATAGATGATTTTCTCCCCTAAACACAACTAAAAGGAAAATAATGCCAGAATAAAATTAGTTCAAAGGGAAGATTCAAAGGTCCACTGATGGATAGAGGACTTCTCTGGAGGTTTTGTGCTGAGTTAGGTGGCATGCTTTGGGGATGGTGAGTAAAGAGGTAAAGGAGATCTGCAGTCATGCCAGTGGAACAGTTTGGGAACTGGCTACAAGTCCTACCAGGCACAGTGAATGTAACCAGTGGAACTTTTCACAGAGGGATCATGCATATGAACTTATACATATTCAGCACCATGGGAGTGGTCACTGGTGTTTGGCAGCCCTAAGTTCAGTTGCCAGGAGTTCTGTAGTTGGCAGTATGAGCAAGAAGTTCCCTATCCTCCCATCAGAAAGACCAGACAAAGGGAAACTTATAGGCAGCATCATATGGAAGCTGCTCCAGGCTCAGTCACTGAAATTTGGGTAGCAGGCTGAGCAGATTGGAGAGACTTCTGTCCACTCCTTGCAGAAAGATTCAAGTGAGCAGTTCTGGCACTGAACTGGCACAGTTCTGGCACTGATAGTGCAGGTTCTTCATGGCAGCCATACTAACAATACCAGAACACAGAGCTTGCGCCAGGCACCTGCCTGCCAGCAGTATAAACAGCCTGTGTCTGGGTGCACATGCTCTGCATACCACACCAAGTGAATGAAACTTGATGGAACATGCCCTTTACCATGAAGTGGAGTGGCAAGGAAGTGGGTTGAGAATTTAGAATCTATTAAGTGTTGAACTAAGTTTATTTTGGAGCAAGAAGAGAGAAGGCAGAGGAGGTCTATCTGGAACTACCCTTACTCTTCACGACTGAGGTCAAGTATTTGTGCCCCATCTTTTTCTTACTCCCAGTCCTGCCTACCACCCAGGTAACCCCTCCAAAAGGAAACAAAGCAGCACAAATAGCTAAACATGATAGAAAAGCAGAAGACTAGAATCCAGGCATATAGAAAGAGGAAACAGATAGAGGATATAACAGACAAAGATTTTAGGATAGCAGTTTTAAAAATGATAAGTGAAGTGTTGGAAGGAGAATCAAACACAGAACACAAAAAAGACATACTGAATAAAATGAGGAGATGCGTGGAAAGTGTTTTAAATAGAACTAGTCTGGTAGAAGAGTGCTTCAGAACTAGAAGACACAAATGTACAAATAACTCAAATACAAGAAGAAAGAAGATTCAGGAAAAATGAAAAAACTACAAGAAAGGTTAGGCTCAATTAAAAGAGGTGTCAAGGATAATGGGGACTCCAGAAGGTGGAGAGAGAGTGAAGGGAACAGAGATGCTATTCAAAGAAATAATGGATGTCCCGGAATCAGAAAGAACACCCAGGTTTTAAAACACAAAATGACCTTCACCAAGGCACATCATTAAATTATAAAAAGTTACATGATAAAAAATAGTACAAGCTGCTAGATTAAAAAAAAAAAAAGTAATATACAAGGGTACCTCAGGCTCTCAGATTTCTCGGCCATTGCCCTTCAGACCAGAAAAGTGAAATGACGTGTTCACAATCTTAAAAGACAAGAAGCCACCAAGAATGCTCTATCCTGCAAAATTATTCAAATATGAAATAAAGGCTTTCCAGACAAAAGCTTATGGAGTTTACACTACAAGTCCTGCCCTATAAGAAATGTTGAAAGAAGTTCTCCAAGAAAGGAAAAATCTTTTGAGTAGAATTTAAACAAAAATTTTAAGAGACAACAACAAAACACTAAAAGAGGAAGAAAGGTTAGAATCTGTAGAGTTAAATGATGATTAGTCGATCCAGATCGTAAAAGATGTGTTTAGTAGACATGGAAAGTTCACTGTAACCACAAAGCAAAAATCTAGAATAGAGACACAGAAAAAATTAAGAAACTGAGAGAACCACCAGGGAAAGCCATCTAAGTGAAAAAGCAGAGAGAAACAAATGAAAAAAGAAACAACAGAAAGAGAAAACAATGTTAAAAAAAAACAGATTGACAGGAAATAAACCTCATATTAATAATCACCCTAAATGTAAGTGATCTGAACTCAACAATTAAAGGCACAGATTGACAAATTGGGTAAAGTATCAGCTATCTATACTTTGCTTACAAGAAATTTATTTAAAACCTAAAGACAGACAAGCTTAAAGAGAAAGGCTAGAGCAAGGTACTTCAAGCAATAACTTGAGAGGAAAGCAGGAATGCTATTCTCTTATCTGACAATTAGATTTTCAGCCAAAAGTAGTAATCAGGGACAAAGAGAAGCACTCTATAATGATCAAGGGAATAATTCACCTAGAAGATATAACTGTCATTAATATTTATCCACCTACAATACAAGCAACCACTAACAGACCTAAAGCAAAGCATTTACCAAAACACTTCAATAATGGGGAACTTCAACACACCTTACACAAAGCACCAGATCATGCAGATAGAAAGTTAGCATGGAAATAAAGGTCTTAACTGTATAATGGACATTTACAGAGCCTTCCATCCCAAATAACTGAACATACATTCTCCAGTGCACATGAAACTTTCAAGTATATGCTGGGACAGAAAACATGTTTCAAAAATTATATGAAAATAGAAAATAAGCATCTACCTGATCACACTAGAAATTAACCACAAAAAGAATCCCAGAATAAACTAAAGTGCATGGAGACCAAACATTGTTTTTCAACTCCTAGTTCAAGAAATCAAAAAAGAAATTAAAAAGTGCCTTGTGATTAATGAAAATTGAGAGACAAGCATCCTATTGGATGCTCTAAAAGCAATATTACAAGTACATAGTAATATAGGCCCACATTATGCAGCAGGAGAGATATCCAATTATGTAACTTCAGAAGTAAAGGAAGAACTAGAGAAAAAAAAAACAAAACAAAAGTCAATAGAAAGAGGTAAATAATAAAGATTAGAGCAGAAATAAATGAAAATAGGAAACAAAAAGATAGTTTGAGAAAGATCAGTGAAACAAGAGCTTAGTCTTCAAATGGATAAACAAAATTGACAAACCCTTAGCTCGAGTTACTAAGAAAAGAGAACAAATCCAAATAAAAATAGTTGATAAGATTCAAAACCCATTTATGATAAAAGCTCAATAAAGTGTGAGTAAATGGAGTTATTTTAACATAGTAAAGGCCAAATACAACCTTTGAATATAAAGGCAACATACTCAACAGTGAAAAACAGGAAGTGTTTCCTCTAAGATCAGGAACTAGACAAGGATGTTGACTTTCACCACTAGTGTTAAATAGTATTGGAAAGCCTAGCAAAATAATCAGATAAGAAAAAGACATAAAATGAATCCAAATTAGAAAGGAAATGAAATAAAACTACTACTTTTCACATATGAATATATACATTGAAAACCCAAGCATCTACAAAAACTGCAAGAAATTTTGAAGTTGCCAAACAAAATGAATAAACAAAAATCAGTTGCATTTCTATAAGCAAACAATGAATGCAAAGAAGTATTTAAACAATCCCTTTTACAGTGGCACCAGAAAAAATGAAATACCTGGGAGTGGATTTAATGAAGGAATGAAGGACTTAACACATTGAAAACTATTAGACTATTTAGAGAAGTAAAAGATGGTACAAAGAAATGGAAAAATATCACACATTCGTGGATTGGAAGAATATAAACAACATCAAAATGGTCATGTTACCTAAAGCAATTTATGGATTTAATGAAATACCTATCAAAATCCCAATGACTTTTTTTCAAGGAAATAGAACAAACAACTATAAAATTTGTATGCACCACAAAAGATCCTGAATAACCACAGCATTCTTGAAAAAGAAGAAAAATGGTAGACTCATATTGCCTGACTTCAAACTACACTACACAGGAAGAATAATCAATACTATGCTGTGGAACAAAAGCCGAGAAATAAGCCCAAACAAATATGGACAATTAATCTTTGACAGAGGAGCCATGGGATGGAATGGAGAAAGAAAAACCTTTTTGAAAAATGCTGCTGGAAACATGAACAGTCATATTCAAAAAAGAAAAAGGAGGGAGGAGAGAGAGAGAGGATAAGGGAAAACCAGATCTTTAACTCCATACACAAAAAAGGAGTTCAATATGGATTAAAGAATGTATATAAGATCTGGAATTTTAAAATATTTAAAATAGGGGAAACACTAGTCATCAATTACAGAGGTGTATTTGGGGATGCAACCCCAATAGCAAGAGAAACAAAAGCAAAAATAAACTAGATCAAACTATTGTAACAGCTTTGGTACCTCAAAAGAAACCATCACTGAAACAAAAAGTCAACCTCTAGACTGGGAGAATATATTTGCACATTTACCAAGGGGTTAATATCAAAAAAACTATAAAGTGTTTAAACAACTCAACCACCAAATTGAAAAAAAAAAAAATGCAATACAAAAAGT